ACAGGTTGTAGGTTGAGGACCCCTAACTTACAGCACTCACTGCCAGGGCTGTTTTCTGAAGCACCTGTCACTCCCGTCTGCTCTACTGTCCCCTTCTTACTGCCTGGCTCCTTTTCCTTCTCTGGCTCTTCTGAAGCGGACAACCAGACATGGCTTCAGTTACAGCTACGATTGTGAACATCTCCCAAAGGCTCACGCACTGAAGGCTTGGTCTCCAGACTGTGGGGCTTCTCCTAGGACACGGTGGGACTTTTAGGATGTGAGGCCTAATGAAGGGAAGCTAAGGCACTACGGGCACAACCTTGGAGGCACCCTGAGTTCCAGCCCCCTTTGTCTTCCTTGGCTTTCTGGTGCCATGAAGTGAGTGGCCTCACCTCTTGATCTTCCAAGTGTTGGGATAGCTGGCCTGTGCTACCACGCCTGCTGACCTTTTCCCCCTTGTTAGGTGAGGCCAGGTGATTTGTCACAGCACCAGGAATCTAACATAGCTCCCCAAAGCTGCAAGTCCTGTGTCACAGCTTCACGCTGCCTGATTTCCCCTGTCTCAGTTCCAATGGACTGACTGAGGAAATGACTTAGTCATTTTTTTTTTTAATCCATTTTTCTCAGAATGGTTCTGAGTTCATTTGTTAAGCTTTTTATCTTCGTGGCTACATTATTTCCACCCTGCAGAAAATGGTGCCTTTTGTAAAGACCCATGCTTATACAGGAAATATGTATCTACTTCTATGAAAATTATTTCATATTTTACAAGCATGCATGTCCATGCTTGTGACAGCAAAGTTAAAGAACACTTACAGAGTGTTATTAGCTACAGCAGAACTTATATATTAAGTTTTTGACATTTAAAAGAAATAAAGTCCCATCAGGATTATTGTATGCTATTTTACTTTACTAAATTTAAAAAGATCTATGATAGGGGTGGATTAAAATAATCCTGGCTCACATGGTGGAAGGACAGACTCCCACAGTTGTCCTCTGACCTCCAGAAGTGTGCTGTGCCGAACGGATGTGCACACACACAAAACAAACCAATGGAAATAGGACTTTAAAACATAAATGACAAAAAAGGTTTCAAACTCGAAATATTAATAAACTTTAAAAAAAAGTTCTTCAAGCAACTATTTGTGCCAGAAACTTGGAACCGAGGGAGACTTTTATCACGCGATTTCCTTCTCTCTAGAATTAATTAGCAGCGTTCCCAGAACTCTGCTAAAGTCCCTTGCTAAAAGGAAGAAAGTAAATACAGTACTGTGAGGAAAACTGGTTCGCTTCCACAGAACTGGGCGGCTTGGGCATTAGCCAAGTAAAAATAACCTGCTGAAGAACTACTCGTAACCTATTAGCCACCACATGAAAGCTTTCTCTTTAATGGTATCCTCCTGGGATACCGCTGGAATGCACAGTGATTTTGAAAAAGGCACAGATTTGGCTCAACTGTAAATATCAGTAGGTGCACAGAGGCAAAGCCATTGTGCTAGGTAGGGGGTGGGGTGGGTGGCTTCTGATTCCCAGTGTCGATAGGGGGATTTTCATTTCTCTCGGCACTTATTTTTTTTCTACTACAATTACAGTTTTGCTAAGAAAATAAAATACCGGCCATGTTCTCATCTGGGTTTCCAATTTTCAATGTCTTTAGAATAAAGATGAAAGCCTCTTTCATTTACCTCACAGATCCCTTTGCAAACTGAGCTTGGTGATGCTTGCTTGTAATCCCAGTACTAGGAAGGCTGAAGAAAGAGGGTAGTGACTTCCGGGCTAGCCTGGGCTACCCAATAAAACCACTTTTATGAGGAAAAAAAAAAAATCATGTTTCCACAGTTTCCAGGACCGTAGGAAATAAAACAAAAACCAGCTCAAACCTACTGCCACCACTAGTCAGAACCCTGAGCCAGCCCAGGTCTCTAGGGCAAGGCAGCTTTCAAACCTTGGGTCTCAGCAACTCTGAGGTCGTTTCTGGCTGAAGATGCTCCACCCGTCTCTGCCGCATGCAAAGCCCAAGCGTGGACTCTGAACCCAGCCCTTTGTCTAGTTTGCTTTTTCTCTTGTACCCTGACTTCCCACCATATAGTTTCTCGGGCCTCTGGGTCCCTCCTAAGCCACCTGCGTGCACGATTAATTCACAACAAGCAGGTGCGGGCTGGCGGGAGCACAGTGCCTGGTCACGCTGGGCGCCACGGAAACTACAACTCCCATCAGGCCCCGCGGCCGCCGGGCCCCACCCCGCCACCACCGGCTCAGCCCGCGGCGGAGGCGCTGGGCTTTCATCCGCGGAGCGGCGGGAGCGTCGGCGCGGACCTCTCCGACGGTCGCGGGGTCGGCAGCATCCTCAGCCGCGCTCAGCTTCCGCGTCCGCGTCCGCGTCCGCGGGAGGATGGTGGTCCGCGTGTTCGTCGCCTCGTCCTCGGGCTTCGTGGCGGTGAGCGGGGCGGGATCGCGGCAGACGCGCGGCGCGTGCGTCCGTGGGAGACGCGCGGGCAGGTGACCGCCAGGCGCGGACCGGGTGGGCGCGCAGGGGTCGCACTCCCAGCGCTGGCGGTTAGCCAGGGGAGTCAGTCCCCTGCCGCAGCTGTCGGCTCCAGGGGCTCCTTTCCCGAGTTTATAGGTTCCCAACTTGGGACACTGTCGGCTTATGGTTTTTATGGGAGTTTAGACTACTTTGATTTGCTGACCCGGCGTCTGAAGGAAAACACGTTTAAAGGAATTGCTCTCCACCCTCTCTCGTCCCCAGCAAGTCCGTTTCTTTAGTTTTACACCTGAGCAAAGGGAACAGTAAACCACGCCTGCCCTGTTAGTTCGGTGTTATTTGTTTTCATTGTCGCGTTTTAGCCTAAGGAGCTACAAACACTTTTACATTTTTAAGTAAACCTGTGTGCATGTGACCTTTCCCTGCCTCCTCGGTGCTGTGGTAAATTTCATTTTAGGAATCTATACATGTTTTTAGCTATTCTGTTTGTAGAGTGTTGAGTTCTTTTAGGAAGTTATTTATTTTTCTTTAGGAAATTAAATAGCTAGAGATGTCATACGTTAAGGAAAAACGCACATGTATGCTGGACAGTCCACTGACTGAGATGCACGCAGTGTCCATGTTCTGTGTGATTATTGAGACTTGATTTCTTTAGTTAAGAGTTAGACTACAGCTCTAAATGCTTGCTGTGTGGGGTACTTAATCAGATAGAGAAGAGAGTGCGAGCATGATTGTTTAAAGTTTAGTCTGGCTGGTTGCCTGCCCAGTAGACAGATTGATTGTCCTAGAATATACATGGGTGGGGTGCTTGAAAAATGCTTGTAAACCACTGAAACTTTTAATTTAAAACACCCCACCTTTTTTTAAGCTGCGAAGACCCCCATTTTCTCTAGACACAATAGATGGGAAAATGCTAGCTAACCTGTGTAGGCATGTTGTGGTTCTCAAACTCCCCCGTTTCCTTTTTTTTTTTTTTTTTTTTTTGCCATTGCTTAGTCATGGGTGACTTTTACAGACTTTTTTCCCCGGTTAAAGCTGAGCCTCATGAAACCTGTACTATTTTCCAGATAGATTTATTTAAGTGTATTCCTTACTGTGGAGCTTCTGGCCTTACCATGAACCTACCTGCTTCAGTAATTATTTCAAAAGCACTTTATTGATTGTGGAAGGGATGTGCTATAGTGTTGATCTGTGGTTGTGTTGTGAAAGTCACCTGCCTTAGCCATCCTGTATCCAGACCGGCTCTGATTCCTGTATCCTGGTTTCATCAATTCCATTAACATATGTATATATCTATACCTATATAGATATAGATATATATATATCCTATTATGTGACCCACGTTTTAGATGTAATGTTTTGTATATGGAACTAGATTGAGGAAAGGGGTTTTAGTGCCCTGACTGGTGTAGTGAGGGCCAGCAGTGCCCCAGCTCTGTCCGAGTTCCTCTTCTGTACCATGAAGGATGCTGAGGCTCACAATTGTGCTGCACTTTAAAAATGCTTTGATTCTGTCCATTGAGTAAATGCTCATAACAGCTTATTTCATTTGAACAGTATACTGGTTAACTTCAAAGTGGAATTTTTCCATTTTGGTTTTTCACTGCGTCTCAGATCGCCCTGGTCTGATGTGGTTTCATTGGACTGGGAGGTTACATTCAGTCACCACATAGACACAGCCTGTAAACACTAATTATGCATTTCAGTCTGCTGTTTACTCTTTTCAGGTCTTAGAAACACTCATCGCGAGTCTCCTCATTTTGTCATATTATCTCCTACTTCATATACAGTTTTTCTTTAATATTGGTATTTTAGGTTATAGAAAGTTTATGCTTATCTGCAAGAAGATTGATTTCTTAGCCATAATGAAGGTGTGTAGGTGAATTCTTGGTTGGGGAGGCTAGTGGTACTTACACCATTAAGCTGAATTAAGGTTTTGTGGGAATGCTGTGTTTTCCTTATAGCAGGGTTGGGTTGACTGTTGCCACTGTTTTATTTTGTGCCCATCTGTGACCAGCAAGTATATGGACGAACAAACAGTGTTATTCCCAAGTCAGTTTGGTTTTAGCCAAAGTGTCTTAAACCACAAGGAAGGAATGTGACTAGAATTAGACCTAGCTAAGTAAGTCAGTTGGCAGGACATTTAAGCATACTGTTTAGAAAAAAAATCCTCCTATCTCCTGGTTCCCTTGAGCATTGGGAGCTTCAGCAGTGAGGATGACTAACATGAAGGTGTGAGTCCCTGTTCGTCTTCCCCAGCTCCAGGTGAAGCCTGCTGTTACTAGGAAATAAAAATTACACCGCATTATACCATCCATGTTACTGTTATAGTGAGGACATTCTTTCAGCTTGAAGAAAATGGAACCATCAAAAGGTCATTTTAAATTTTAATTTATTATGCATGTGTACCTGACAAGCGGAGGCCTTGGTAACCTTTGTCCAGGAAATATGTTAATGTGACTTTAATTTTTCATGGATGTATTTAACAGAATTTGCTTTGGTCTGCCTGTACCCTGCCCAACTCTGTCCTTGGTCTTGCAGAGAAGCCTAGGAGAATAGAGGGTGTGGTCTCTGTTCTTGAGGAGTGCACAGACCATGTGAGGACGTCTGCTAGGAAAGGTAAAACCTTTGGTAATAGCCTGCAGCTCAAGGACATGCCTCCTGTGGGAACACTTACCAGGCAGAAATACTACAGTCTGCAGAGGGACGCCTTGCCGGATGTAAGATACGGAGGGGATATGCTAGAATCATAAAATATGCATGTGGAGGCAGCCAGCAGGGAGAGTGTTCCTGAGCCCATTTTTTTAGGCTGGATGTGGAGCTGCTTGGGGAGGAGGAGTGAGCAGCAGATGCCCCTGTGGACCTCTTTGGATGACAAGGTGGACTCTTCAAGTCCCCAAGGGAGCCCTGTGAATTCAGACTCCACAGAGCTCTGCGGTCTTGGAAATGTTTTCAGTATCTACAGCTTGTCTGCTGCTCGGAGCCTTTTGTCCTTCAGGTGGCAGGGTACCATCCTTCAAGGGTGGACTTCAGGTCTGAGATTTTCGAAGAATCCCTTCCTGCTTGCCTTGGACTGAAATGTATCAAAAGTCAAATAAAGTTTTCATTGAGGCGAGAGCTGTGCTTTGGCATGGGTATCTTTTACCATTCAGTAAAGCTCTGTGGCTCAGTTGAGAGTCGGAGGGGAACCTAAATGTATATAAGTGAAATCCAACCACACAGTTTCACACAGAAGGAAACTTGGGCGTAGAGGTGAAGTGATTCGACCTAACGTCATTTATGTAGTCAGGGCACAGTGAGATGTAATTGGAAGCCAGATTCCTGCACTGATTGATTGATGCATGTGCTTATTTTAAACGTTGAAAACTAAGTATCAGGCTCTCTCCCTCTCTCTCTCTCTCTCTCTCTCTCTCTCTCTCTCTCTCTCTCTCTCTCTCTCTCTCTCTCTCTCTCTCTCTCTGTGTGTGTGTGTGTGTGTGTGTGTGTGTGTGTGTGTGTGGTGGCCTGCAGAGGCCAGAGGAGGACATCAGATGTCCTGCTCTGTCATTCTCCACCTATTTCTTCGGGACGAGGTCTTTCATTGACCTTGGAGTTAGGCTGCTGACCAGCATCCCTCCTGTCTCTGCTGCTCATAGCATTGGGATGACAGGTGTGTGCGAGGCTTCCCCTGGCTCTTTAGGTAGGTATTGAAATTCAAACCTTGGTCCACATGCTTGTGCAGCAAACACTCTTACCCTAGTACCAAGTTAGTTGGTGTTAGGTGCTGCGTACTAGGGTGGTCAGGAAAACAGATGTGGCCCGAATCACTGCTGTCTTCATCAAGCTTGGAGACTTAGCGTGCAAACTTTGTAGTCAAGGACTGATATTTGATTACATTGTGGAAAAATACGTTACTGTGATTGGTTTAATAAAAAAACTAAACGGCCAGTAGCTAGCTGGCAGGAGATACAGGCAGGACTCCAGACAGAGAGACCTCTGAGAAGAAGAAAGGGGGAGTCACTAGCCGGATACAGAGCAAGCAGGACATGCGGGAGGAGAGGTAGAAGCCATGAGCCATGCGGCAGCATGTAGATTAATTGAAATGGGTTCATTTAAGTTATAAGAGCTAGTTAGAAACAAGCCTAAGCTAAGGCCGAGCTTTCATAATTAATAAGAAGCCTCCATGTGGTTATTTGGGATCTGGCCGGCGGGACAGAGAAAAACTCGTCACAGTGGCTTGAGGACTGCTTTCATGACTCAGAGGGGAATGGGCTAGATGTCAGTATGTTACACATCTCTGAATGTTGGAAAGCTCGATGTGGCCTGCGCACCGTATTAACGTGAGGGTGGGTGTGAAGGGGGAGGACAGACAGACACCGCTCAGAGTCGCAGCTGTGCAGTGTGTCCTTGCTGCTGTGCACGACCGGTTATTATTTGAAGCATGCAATTACCAGTTCAAGCTGTTGTTTCCCCTGTGGAGTATATTCAGTGAAGCTCTTCTGTAAGCAAGCCTTAGAAAAGAGGTCAAAAGCAGCCAAGTCAGGAGGTGATCATGGGCGGGACCAGGATTCTCTGCTAAGTCGCTCGACTCTGACAGGAGTGAGCAGACCTTTACTTAATCTTCACTGTCCTCTGGTGGGGTAGTTATTGCCGCGTCACAGAGGAAGAGGGCTGAAGAGAACTGACTCAAACCAGATCATGTTTAGTTGGTGCCCTGACCTGGAGTCAAGCTCTGGTTGACAGCTGGTTCCTAAGCTTCCAGAGTGGAAATCCTCCCTGTGGTCTCTGTCCTCAGGTACATTGTACCCCGAGGGTGAGTGTGTGTGTGTGTCGGAGATGCTGACATCCTGCAGTTTGTCGGTTTGTCTGCACAAAGAGCTGCCCTTCGGGTCAGTGGTTCCCGGGCCAGAGACGGTGCTGGAGGGCACTGGAGGAGGATCGGGAAGCAGGCTTCAGGATGGGGTTGTGCAAGGAGTGATGAACAGAGGCAGGAATAACTCGAGGACCCAAGGAATGGAGTAAGTAGAGACTGTTCGTTCGTTTCCTAGGGCCATGGGGCTTAAATATCAGAAATGGGTCTTACTCTTCTTGCTGCTGGAGGTTGGAGAGCCAAGTGTTAGCCTTCTGAGGACTGTGAGGGAGAATCTGCTCTGGGATCTGCTGGCAACCGTAGGCAGATTTGGCTTGTAGATACATTGCCCTGATATCCTTTGTGTTTATGTGGCATTCTCCCTATGTGCGTGTCTGTGTCTGTCTTTGGTGTTCAAAATGCCACAACCCGCCCCCTTCTCGCCCCCCCCCCCCCGCCCCATTGTGTGTGGTGTGTGTGTGTGTGTGTGTGTGTGTGTGTGTGTGTGTGTGTGTGTGTGTTTTAATTAGGTATGTTGTAGTAGGGCTTACTCTAATGACCTCATCCTAAGGAGCATCTGCAAAGATCCTGCTTCCAAATGAGGTCATATTCACAGGTACTGAGAGTTGGTACTTCGCTGTCTTTGAGATGCATGTAATACAATATAGAGCCGTGTCCAGTCTGAGGGGTGAACTATGCAGACTGATAGAATTTTCTCTTTAGCTGGAAAGATTCTGGGCAGGTTTCTTTCACTTTGAAGTTACCAGCTCGATAGCAAATTGTATGGGCATATAGTCTGTGTGTGAGGTTTGCTGCTAGGAAGGGCAAAACTTTTAAAAAATTTTTATTTATTTTCTTTATTACCATGGAAGGGGAGTTTCTGGCCTCAGTTTTTCTAGTACATTTTAGTATTTCCCAATTTTGACATTCCTTTCTACAAAAAAAAAAAAACATTTAAATTTGTCAATATGAATATAATCACCAGCATGGAATTTTCCTTTGTGAATTTAGGGACTTTTTAAAAAAAATCCATTTGTGTTTAGATACTTTGAGTCAGCATTTCAAACCATCTTTGAAACCAAGCTACATCTTGACAAGTATTTGTGATATGAAGTTCAGGGTCTCCACACCCCAGGCAGAGTGTAAGACTGCATGAATCTTTTGTTGTGTTTTTCAATTTTTAAAAATAAAACACAGAAAAAGAGAGCCACTATTGTGAAAAAGACTCCAAAGTCCACTGGGAAGTGATGTGAGCTCCTAAGTAAATGGGATTTCTTTATGTGTATGTGGTGTGTGTGTGTGTGTGTGTGTGTGTGTGTGTGTGTGTGTGTGTGTGTGTGTTTGCTTGTGGAGGCCTCAGGTTGATTGAGTGTCAATCTTTATCACTCTCCACCTTACTTTTTGGGAGAGGATCTCTTCCTGAACTTGGAGCTCACTGATTGGCTAGCCTGACCAGGAAGGGCCAAAGATCCTCCTGTCTCCTCTCGTCTCTCCCTGCACTAGGATTACAGGTAGAGGTCAACATGTGTTGCTAGAGTTTTCCTGCCTGGCCCACAGTCAGGACAAATCTCTCTCACCCGCCAGTCCCAAGCCGCTCAAACCCGATCAAGTAAACACAGAGACTTATATTGGTTACAAACTGTATGGCCGTGGCAGGCTTCTTGCTAACTGTTCTTACAGCTTAAATTAATCCATTTCTATTAATCTATACCTTGCCACATGGCTCGTGGCTTACCGGCATCTTTACATGCTGTTTCTCATCATGGCGGCTGGCAGTGTCTCTCCTCTCAGCCTTCCACTTCCCAGCTCTATTCTCCTCCTTGTCCCGCCTATACTTCCTGCCTGGCCACGGGCCAATCAGTGATTTATTTATTGACCAATCAGCAACACACTTGACATACAGACCATCCCACAGCACTTCCCCTTTTCTTTTCTTAAAAAGGAAGGTTTTAACCTTTACGCATCTCCAAAGTCAGCTTGGTATATTTGGGAATTTGGGCGTAGCTTCTCTTACTACTTCCTGCTGGAGGGGGACGCTGTATCTTCTGGGGAAACAAAGAAAATTTTAGGATCATGGAGTAGTCTGTGAGGCTGTATCATCTGAGCCAGTTGCCTTGAAACGGTTCTGGATGTTGGATCATCTGGGCCATGGTGTCATCGGAGACCTTTCAGGTGGTCTTGGCTGGTCAAACCTGATGTGTCTTAATCTGGAACAAATCCATAGCCTCTGGCTTTCTGTGGAAACAAAAGCAGAATCTCCTTTCCAAAGCAACATATCCTTATATCCAAATTTTGAAGTCAAGGTACCTTTAAAATATACATTTTGGCATAACTCAACAGCTTTTGTAATCAAATGTTTTTCTTTAGTTACGAATATCAAAGAGAACATAATCCAGATTCTTTGTGTGGTAGCCATCTTTACGTGGCTTATTTTTTTATATTAGCTTGAGCCTATTGCTTTGAACTGCAGCCTTCTAAGCCTGAAACGGCTGGTGCTGTGGCTGCTGGCTCCGCCCACTCCAGCTTCCCAACATGGCAGCGGTATGCTTACCGCCAGCTCTGGGAGCCATTGTGGGTCTATGCTTTTATCCAAGCAGCATGTAGCCCAGAAACCTCTTTTTTTTTTTTTTGTTTTGTACTAGCAAAGGCTAAATCCATCAAGCAGCTTAATGTGCCACTTGCAGAGGCCTCATTCCCGCCATACCGCAGGTCGAGTGCGCACGCTAGGAACCCGCCAGTAGCTCAAACCAGCAGCTGCCGCTCATTTGAGAGAGACAATTAGGAACTGTTTTTAGCTCCATTTTAGAATCCTTTTTCTCAGTTTTTAGGTGGAAACTCTTGCCACCACGTTGGACGCCATTTGTAGCTAGAGTTTTCCTGCCTGGCCCACAG